TGGTAGAAGGATGTTGGAGATGGAGCTGCCAGGCAAGAGGTCAAGAGGAAGGCCAAAGAGGAGATATATGGATGTGCTAAAAGAGGACATGAAGTTAACTGGGGTGAGAGTAGAGGATGCTGAGGATAGAGTTAGGTGGAAACAGATGATTCGCTGTGGCGACCCCTAACGGGAACAGCCGAAAGAAGAAGAAGAAGAAGACGACTGTGAGGTTGTGCATTGCAGCTATTGCATCTGAATGTGCGCTTGATTATGTAACGATAAGCAACATTCACAAAGATTAATGCAGACTTGTTTTCTCTAATAATGGATTATAGAACTAAAGCAAGTTTCAACAATGTGCTAATTAATATGAACATTGACAGAGTTCTCAGTATGTGTAAGAGGAAAACATTGGGACTGCATTCAACTATTAAGCCTGTATTGTACCATAATGCTGTTACACACTTTGATTGGTGAATGTCTTTGTCGTTATGCCTCTGTGCCGGCGATAGCTGTGGCCATAGGCATTATGCCAGTTTTCCATCTGTCCCATTCTTGTGAACACAATATGTCAGGAACAATTGAAGGAATTTCTTCAAATTTGGCTCAAGTGTCCATTTGGACTTAGTGATGAATTATTTTGATTTTGGTGTTCAAAGGTCAAGTCCACTGTGACCTCATGTTTGTCCCATTCTCCTGAACACAACAATGTGGATAGCATTTCTGTAGCTGGTGATCAGGTTTGTTTAAACATGAGCAGCAGCACACACAGCAAGTTGTGATCACCTTCCCGTGGAGCTGATGAGTTCTGCCCTGATGATGAAAGCTTCATAGAAACACTTAAGGAACTTGCCTGGCTCCTTGTGCAAAACACTGAAACCAGGTGTAGTGTATGCTTGGAATTAACAGGATGATATTTCTGGTTACACTGATGTTTATATGCCTCTGCGGTGGCAATGACTGTAGCCAGAGCTATTGTGTTTTTGGGTCATCCGTCCATCCCAATCTTATGAACACGATATATCAGGAACACATTAAGGGAATTTCTTCAAATTTGGCACAAATGTCCACTTGGATTCAAGAATGAACTGATTAGATTTTGGTAGTCAAAGGTAAAGGTAAGTGGCCTTATATCTGTCCCATTCCCATGAATTTCACTGGTTGATGGCAGCATACAACCGTGACACGGTAATTCTAGTTTTGACTCGTTTCTTTTTATCTCGGGATGGTGGGATTGCTGTTCAGCTTTGAGATATATAACACAGATAACTTGGGAGCTATTGGAGGGTCTGCATGTATTTTTTCACATTTGATGGAGCTAAGCAGTTTCCCTCTGCCTCCCGTCTTCATGCTTGGCTAGTCTAAACATTCCTCTGATCTGTATAATGCAAATACATCATCATCTGACGAGACTGTCCACTTGTCATTTGTGCCACCAGGTTTCATAAACATCACAAACAACATTTCCATGACAACGTATTTATGGCTGTTTCCATGATAAGTCTGTAAAGGTTGCTGACGTGACGTACATTGTCGTTAATGTTGACCGAGTTCTTGCAATTCCACCTACCAACACAGAAGCACTATTTCACGACATGGTTCTATGGGAGGGAAAGAACAACCAACCATATGGGTCACGCAGGTTAGAGGACTTGTTGCTAGCTTAGTGTATTTTGCCAAAGTTGATGGAAGCATTTCCATCTGCAGTGCAATGTGTGCACATCAAAAGATTTCATCGGGTTTGTTGGCAGTTCCAGTGACGTGCGGTGAGGTTGACAGCTGGTGAGGCACTAACTCTTTTACAGTCTGATTTACAAATACAAATGAACCATTAACAACTTGTCTGTTAACAAACACTGTGTTATGTTTTATATCTCATATCAACATCCTTCACACAAACATGACCCATATTTAATTTGAGGTTAAAATTTATTCCAGTTGAGCTTATTTCTAACTAGAAATAATAAAAGTTTATGGTCTTACCTTTACTTGTACACGAAATCCATTTGTCAGCTGGTATGTATTACAAACCCTTTTACCGTTCGAATCCAATATTAAAACAAATGTTTTCAATAAAGAAGATCCTTCTGGACAAAAATGTCCAGACTGTCAAAAATGTTTTGATTGAAAGTCCAGATTTGCGAATTTTCTCAGCTTGGAAATGTAATCTTCCATTTTGATAAGGCGGATTGTAAAGGAAATATAAACAAGCACGAAGAAGATTGTAGGTAGCGCAAGAATCTGTGGGCTCACTAGCGCCCTCTGCCTTGAGGCAGGCGTACTGTTTGCCTCACCGAATAACTTTTTAACTGGGTTTTATGGTTAATCTGCGAGCCTAAACACGTTACAGAACTACATTTTATACATTATCCAGATTATGGCAAGGCAGAGCATATAATCAGAGTGTTTGAAAGCATTTTATTTGCGATATATAGAGGGACAGAGACACACTATTTGCATCGCGTACAGTTTGTGAGGATTACACGATCCACCGAGAGGCACAGCAAAGTGCTGCATCATCACGCATCTCCTCCATGTATTTGAACGGGACATACAGAAATTCTGCTTTTCTTTATTGAAAAACAATCCTTCAACATCGGATTAGAACGGCTAAAGGGCCTACAACACACACCAGCCGACAAATATTAACATTTATTATATTTTATGGTTAACAAATATTAACATTTATTATATTTTATGGTTAACTTTTAGTTTTTTCTTTTCAAGATTGAAGGGGAGGATCTGCCTCACCTGCCTCCCCTGACCGCACGTCACTGGGCAGTTCCAGAGAAAGGTGCCCCAGAAATGTTAGCTCCCAGAAACTTTGACTTTTAAAAGACAGACACTTTTAGACAGTCCTTTCAAAACCGCTCATCTACTGTGCTATCACAGGAGCTAAGTACATACATAATAGCAAAGAGGTGACATTTATTAGTCATCTGCTGTTGTTAGAGATACAACCAGATGCAAGAGAGTGAAAAGAAAACCAGAACACACTGGCTCCAACTCACCTTCACCTTACTACTCGAGAGATTTACTGAATTCATTTGTGTATCTATTAATGTTACAACTCACCTTTAATTGAATTTCTTGTATAGGAAAATAAACCTGTCTTCACATTGAAGCTGCAGCTCACAGAAATTGTTTTGGATATGAACAGAGGAATACAATTACCAACATAATGTTCAATTGCAGCACATGTACAGTAAACCCCTGTCAGACCTCACTATAATGATGTTTCTAATGACCTCTGGTGTGCACTATGTGACAATAAGTGTATTGATGCTGTGCAGGCTTTCTGCAGCTGCTCCTCCCTGTAGTCTCCGCTATGTTAATCCCTCTCTACATGTATGTTCAATGACTTATGGTCATAATAACCCAAAAAGAGGATTAAGCTAATTAAACCACAGTGCTGCACTGGTAATGAACACATCGGGAGGGAATACTCCACCCCCACATTTATGCCACACACATACAGAATGAAGAAGCTGCAGTGTCTTCAGGGTGTCTTCTCTTTCTCTGCTTTTAATAGCTCATCGCTGGTTAGCATGACTCAACTGTGGAATCTCCACAAGCTTAAAGACACTGCAGCTAGCTGTCACGCTACCAGAAAGCTAAATGCCCCACTCTGGATTAGGTATAATAAAGCTAAACTTGTGGACTCCTCTGGCTACACTAGGTACTGATCTGGATTGTAATGCTATACTTAAAGCCATGAAGTGGTCGCTGGGATCATATAATCCTGTAACATGCTGGATAAATGATGCCAAGGTTGCCAGTACTAATACAGCGGAGGGCTGCAGGCTATGCACTGTAATCCTGGTGAACACCAAGGAAACTGCTAACAGTGGAAGATGAAGAGTGGAGGCCATGAACTGCTCCAGATACTGTAAATTATGTTCTTGTTAAAGCTAAAGTGAAATGATGCTAGCTCCAGGTGGTACACAACTTTGCACAAGACTCATGCTGCAGATAAGGATTCAGCCTGAGTTGCAGGCTAAATGATGACCAATCCAGAAAGCATTTCAACTTGAAAACATATTTATGGATTCTCAGTACAAATCCATGCAGTCCTGGTTCTCATCACTTTAAAAGCAGTGATGCAGCTCTAAGCAATAAATATAAACAAGCTCCAATATGACTAAAATACATTTTCATAAAGTGTCTACTCTAAGGTATTATTGTTTTTACATACCACTAAACGTTACCAAATAAAAAGACAAGACTGCTCTTATTAAACCAACCTCAGACTTACCCACAACTGCTTGGTCTATAAACTTGATTGTGGAAATGATTTAAAGGTTTTGTTTCTATGCGTTATAGCTCACTCATTAAAAAAAACAGACTTATTTATTGAGTAGTTTTTACCGCAACAAATGTGGAGTTTCAGGCTGTGTTTATATTTAATCTCAGTAAAATCATGCATTCATCATAATCAACATAAGTCAAATCCATTCATGTGTCTGACTCTTCAATCCGAAACCTGTCTCCACATGCTAACGCTACAGGAAACCCTCAGATAACAGCCCCTGGACACATTATCCTGGTGTGTGATCTGGCTGAGGGTCAGTGGCAGGGCAGCTGTAGTTAGCAGCTAAAGCTGTATGTCAGACCTATTTGGACACAGCTGAAATCACCAAGCCATTTACAACTAGTCCATCAATCATCAGGCGAGTACTGAGGCAGAGCCTTTTGGCACTGATCTGGTATCAAGAGGAAATTAATAAATCTGGTGTCATCTGAGAAGCAGAAGAAAAGGAGAAGTCCTTTTAAACTCAAACCTCAACTAACTCACAAAGTACAGTATGTTGATGGTCTGGGTTACAGTATGTGCTTAGTCTTAATCAAAGCTCAAGGTTTCACCATTTCATCCCATTGTACTAGTGTTTTAAGATTAAACTACTTTATTCATTACTTCTAATTTAAATTCATAGAGTCTGTTGTATATCGTATATTACCCTACATGTCTTACTGTAAATATCAAGTGTACATATTTATTGGCAAATTAGTTCTGACAGTACAGACTGTAGATACAGTATCTACAGTCTGTACTGCTGTCGTTACATTCCTAGTTAGATACTAAACTGCATTTCGTTGCCTTGTACTTGTCCATGTGTAATGACAATAAAGTTGAATCTGATATAATCGAATCTTAAGTGCATTAGTAAAGTAACCTCGTGTATAAAGATGGTGCTGGCAACACTTTCAGGGCATTGACTCATGTTGGTTCTGCATCCCAGCACACTGGGTTTGTAATGGAACCTAGATTTAATGCAGGAAATGTAGTCAATTCCCTGTCAGGGATGCTCTATCAGACCTTTCTTGTTTAAGGACCATCTGCATTCAGCCTAGTCTTCAGCATTACAATGTCTGGCCATAAAACTTACTGGGTGCCATATCCCAATTTAAAATGTTAGCATCTAAATGTTGATTGCTTGCACTGAAAGTAACTGTGGAGAATGTAATGAAGGTCTGACCTGTGTGGGTCCTCTGATGCGCCTTCAGATGGGAGCTCTTGGTGTAAACCTTCCTACAGCCGTTAAACTGGCATCGGTGGACTCTCTTCTTGTTCTCTGGTACATCTCCTCCCAGACTTCCTCCTCCTCCCTGCTCACTGTCACTGAGGGCTGCTCCTCGGCTCTGCGGGGACGGTAATGCTCGTGCTGCCACCATCTTAGCTGCCCCTAATCCCACCTTCTTCGCCACCAGTTTAAGCGTTAATGTACCATCTGCTGTTGCAGTGAGCGTTTGCGTGGGTTTCACAAGGTGGCGGCCAAGCTCTGGTGATGATGGCGGTGTTAGGGATGTAACAGCAGCGCTAAGCTGTGCAGCGCTGACTCCTCCAAGGACTTGCTCCTTGGTTGTGAGGCTTTCAGTCCCTGCTTCTGCTTGGGTCTTGCTGGGGTTGGGGACCTGAAGGATCTTGGCCTGGACCTTGGGGAGAGTTACCAGTAGTGGAGGTGGGCTGGGCTGATCAGGGAGGCTGGGGAGGAGGGGATCCATCAGGTCCTCATCGCTGTCACCACCCTGCATGAACGCCGGCGTCAAGAGACAATCCAGCTCCTCATCAAAGAGCTCCGAGAGCCGCTTGGGCTCCGTCTGTAGATACCGCTCCAACTCTAGACATGTCTGCAAGAAAACAGACCCAGAGTCAGACAGAAATATACTGTACACGTTAGTCCAGTGTTTCTCACAACTCCAGCCACGTGCAGGATGCTGTGTCACTTTAGCTTTAACTGGCCTTCAGTCACCAGCCTTACACGGCTCTCGTATAGAGTACATATTACTTCAGGTTCTATCCGCTGATTGGCCACCAGCATGTCATTCATGCTTCTTCAACTTGTCACTTACTGTTTACAGCAGTTATTTGACGACTGGCCTCTAGTAACATCTACTCATATTCAAAGTGGTGTACAACTTCAAAAAAATGACAAGTCTCATGATTATGTTGCTGATGTCTTAAACACCAACCTCCTTATCTGTTGATGTTTTGGCTCCTTTGGCCTGTCAGGGGCCTGATGCACACAACCATCCACCCAGAGAGGTTTTGTAAACATATAAAAATATTCCACTAGTGGCAATAGATTATCTGGAAAATGTCAACCAGGCTTGGTTAACTGAACAAACAGATAAACGTAATAGTCTACTTCAATTCAAACATCTGCTGTAGACTATATTTCTCTGCAGCTGCTGACCATGTCACCTAGCACACCGCAGTCCTGAGAGGGGAGGAATTTACTCTGTGATTGATTGCTGCTGCTCGGTTGAGCTCTCCAGAGTCCTAAACTGTGGAAGCCTTGCCTGTTTCCCTCTATTCACTCAAATCAACCAGCCATGGAAGACAGAGGAAGGAAGGAGAGCAAGGTGACAGAGGGAAAGTCGAACAAAGGAACAAAAGAGAAGGAAGGAGAACAGAGAATGAGTGTTTTAATACTTGTTTATTTAATCCTAATCTAGAGATAACAGAGAAATCTGTGCTTTTTTTTTTATTTTAAAAACCGTCTCTTGGCACCTTGGTCAAAGGCACCTGCCTCCCTACCTCATGGGATTTGATCCAGAAAGCTGCTGGTCACTTACCCACTTTTCTATTCTCAAAGCAACACTTCTATTTACCCATTTATTTGTTTTATCTAATCCCTTCCCCCTCTTCCATGCACTATCAAGTGTACATGTGAGGTCTACACAGGACTGTTTAGTCAGTCCTGCTCCTACCGGCAACATTGGTCATTAAAGAAATTCTGTTTGCCTCATTCCTCAGAAAAAATAAGAGCCGTGTAGCGGCTACAGAGGATTATGACCTACACAATATAAAGCTTTTAAGGCTGTTTAATATGTGACATACATTTAAAACAAACCTTATTCAATGTTATTAAAAAGGTTGCAAAGATTGCATCTGATAGTTTAGGTGGTTTTAAACCAGATGTTTGAACATTTCATTTCAGTGCAGCAGTGTAGTTTTTATTCATACAATTGTAAAGTGCGTTAATCCAATGCAGTCACATTTATAATTAACTCTATAAATGAAATGTTGTCCTGCAGGGACAATGCTGAACCATGGTCTGACCACAATGCTGAACAATGGTCTGACCAACAGCAGAGTCAGGTTGAATTTCATGAAAATTCTTACTAAAATTGACTTATACCTGGAAAAAACCCGTTGACGGACTGAATTGCTATTGTAGGCAGTGAAACAAAGACACTTGGTAACAGAAAAAACAGATGAAAATCAAATGATTTTCAGAATTGTCCTTCTGCTAGCACATAATCTAAAATATAAAAGAATAGCGTAAACAATTAGAATGTTATGATTAATTATCTGCAGTTCTATGTGTAAAGCCACATTTAGTATACAGCTTCTAAAATCCTATAAATTGCAGGAAAACGGTGTCAAATTTTAAGGAGATTATGATTTTAAACCCTTAAATTGTTTGCAGAAGTAAACAAGTCCTGTGCACATAAGAATTGCGTTTGGCTTTTTCTGCAACACTTGTTCTTGTCAGAAGACATCAAGCCCGTCCTCAGCTTTGTAACCGTCCATTCAGCACTTTCTTTAAGCTACCTAGCTCCAACACGGTCCTCTAGCATACAGGTAGATACAGCCTTTACTGTATCTACCTCCTCTGTTTAGCCATTGGTCTCTGGCAGATGAATGTTCTCATCTTGATCATCTGGCTTGTTCCACCTCTGTCACTGGAACAAATTACAGCCAGTATACATGTTTTTTTTTTCCTCGGCTGCAGCTGGTTAACTCGGTGCATTCAGACCGACCGGAGCTGGAGCTTTACTCTGCTCGGCCTCGGTGGCAAGACAGACAAACCAGCGCATGTAGTTTGAGCATCTGCTCAGTACTGATAAGCTAAACTTCCCCCTTCCTCTTTTTCCCCCTTCATATTCTTCTTTCTTTTAAAAGAATGCCCTTGTTTCCTTAGGATGCTCATTTGCATATGAATATAAAGCAAAGATATGTCTTCGGGAGGTTACACTGCATCATAAGGAAACTTGAAAATGATAAGCACGTATGTAAAAAAATGTTTTGTAAAGCTGACATTAGTGTTTGGTAGAAAACCTTTTGGCTGCTCCTTTGTTCAGGCTGTTACAATGATTTGTTAGCATTTGTATTCCTTTCAGTAACTGCTGTGTGTAACACAATATCTAGTTAAGCATGGTAAAGGGGGGCTATTATATGTCTTTTTAAATTAGATCAGGCACTGGTAATGCTGAAACCAATACTGAAGATTATCAAATAGCCATCAGGTTATCAGGGATGGAACTTAAACAACCAAAGTGCTTTATTTCAAGACAGAGCTGCATGGTTCGGATAGCAGGATGATGAGTGCTTTGTTCATTGATTACTCACAGGGATGAGCAGCTCCATCTGCTGGGAATGATCTACACAATTAAATTACACACTAGTCACCTTTAATTATTTAAAACAGAATAGGCTGGAAGTGGGATTGCACTTTATATTTTTCATTAGTTACAGATTTTGAAGAAATCTTTGAATGTTGGTTCTATGTTACGTTATGTAACAGGTATCAGTCAGTGACACTGATTCAACTTTCTAATTAATTATGATGATGACAACAAAAAGCCAGTCATATTATACTGTAATATACATATACCATACAGATGGGTGACAAATTAAAGGACAAACAACCACAACAGCTTCAGTTCCCTTTAGCATTGGTTCCACAGGAAGTCCACTCAGTGACCCCTCATGCCCTGTGGATGGGGACACTGTCATCCTGGAAAACACCACTCATTTATTCTGGGTCTTCCTTTAATTTGCCACCTGTCTGCATGTATATATGATTCAATTCTTCAGATCTGGGGCTTATATCAGAATTCATTAAGTCCAAGACACATCACACGCACAAGCAGGCTTCTAAACAAACATGGCTATAACAATCCTATGGTTAATACAGCAGTTATCCATCCTATTGTTAATGGTTAAGTCCTATGGTTAATACAGCAGTTATCCATTAACAATAGGATTGATAAGTGTTATACACTGAACAAAGAAATGTATTCCAGGACCTACTGGTCATTAGGCTTGGATCAAGATTCCCAAGGTTTAAATGATATTATAGTATACACATAGACATAATTCTCATTGGTTAGAAAAGTCATTGTAACAATAGATGTGCATTCTCACCCCAACAATATCTGATGAGATATTCTGAACTCAAGGCTCACTTACTAGTGTTTTCTGGAACTTTTAATATGCAAAGATGCTTCATTTACTAAAGAAGGCTGTTGGACACAGTTGAAAACAGAACCAAAAAAGAACTGGTGAATGTAAAGTGACCTTTTCTCACAGATAGCAACAATACTTTGGCTTGATACTGTGTTAACTGACACCTGGATTACTGCTTAGTCACAAGTGATGGCTGATGGCTATCACAACCTGATAAGTGAAGTTTTATGAGGACTAAAACTAATTTCTCACACAAAACTGCAAGTGAGTTTAAATCATGCTACATCCTGGAAAGAACAATGTTCTAGCTGCATTTGTATGACGATTTAAGATTCAAGATGCTATGAGGGTGCAAAGGTCATCAAGAGGAGTACTTTGATTTAATTTATTCAGATTTTTCCCTGAATGCTTTCTGCTTCGTTAATGCTAATGCTTTTCTCCTGAAAGATTCACACTGTTGCTGCTTGAAGGACACAAACAAAAAGATATCTCGAGATAAAAGGAATGTTTTGTAGGAAAATGCTAAATAAGAATAATTCTTCTCAATCTAAAGTGTTTTTCTCTTATTCTCTCCAGTGCTTTGTAGAATTATATTTTGTTATGTGCATTATTCATCAGACAAAACTACAAGACCATGACAATTATCTCTCTCTGATACAGTAAACACAGTCCGTTAGGGATGGGTGAAGGAATACTGTATCGCTGTTTTCACTTGCACCAGAATTCAAAAATAGAAGGGTCTGTGCGTCTCCTAGAAGGGGCTGTGGGAGGTGGGCGGGGAGGACAGAGGGTAGAGAGAGCCTGGGGCTGAGAAAGAGAAGCGAGCGGCACTCAAACCCACAGCCGGCAGTGAACACACCGCCTCTGCCATCACATGTATGACATTCTCCTTTGTCTGTTTCTCCTACACACCATGAATATCAGGTAACCATGACAGGTAGGGGCTGCACCCTGTGTGTGCGTCTCAGTGGCTGCCGGCTAACAGCTCAGACGGCGAGCATGTGTAGGGCTCACCTCCTGTCCCCCTGCTCAGTCCCACACCATATGGAGGAAGGTCACATCGAATAACACACACACCTACACACACATGCAGGCACAGTGGAGCAGCCAGTAACACTCCTTTTCCACAAAAATGTTTGTCTTTTGTTGAAACATCGGTACAAAGACCGACATGCTGAGCTGAAGAAAACCTGTTGCACTGAAAAAAGTCAAATGTACAAGACTGAGTATAACAAGTAGTGCTTTGACGGAAGACAAGTGGAGTCCAAGGGGCCGCTGACGTATAAAACACCCAATCAGGAAGCTTCTGATTCTGTAACTGTAATATTGAGCTTTGTAGAACATATTGGAAACATTTTCAAAATCACTTTTCAGAAATAAATACTGTGTTTGTGCATCCCGTCTTGCGAGCGTTCACACACTATCCCAGCAG